TTTCGCCGTTGGCGTCACCAGCCTCGGCTTTGTCCTCGACTATCCTCTTCACAAACTGACCGCCTCCATTTGCTTCTTCGTCATTCTCCTCGTCCTTCTTCACTCCGTCGTCTGCTGCTCGTTCGTTTGAGCTTCCTCGACCTCCTCACAACCGCTGCCGTCGCAGACCGACGCCATCTCGCCGTCGCCATGGGCCACTTAGCATTTGACAACAGCGTCGAGGCTTCTGACGCCAACCGGTTGCCACCGCCTCCGGCGTATGTCGACGTGGCCATCAGACACTGACCGGATCCGGCCGATCTGTGCCTCGTCAAGACCCCATTCACCCGTTTCCGATCACATCCTCGAAGCATCAGCCGCAAAACGGCCCAGATCACGCCCGAAAGTTGCGTCTTCACATTGTTTTCCGAAAAAGTCTAGTGAAGTGTAGTTTCAACCTTTCCTAAGTTTCATCATCGAACGAAACAAACGAGGTGATGTAGTCGATTTCTATGCCAAATACAACTTTGCTTCATCGACAATCTCAACAGACACCGGCGTGTCTAGATTACATGCTACATTGTCATGGCTCGAGTCCTGGTGGACGAGAATACCTTTTGGGAAGTAGGAATATGTGAAATTCAATGAAAAAGTAAGGTCTACTCATAGCATTGTAGGAAACATCAACTACCACTTGCCTTGTCACTAAAACCGAAATATGCTGAATACATTTCACATAAATGCTGACCTGTCGTCTGTCATACTAGATGAGGAAATCCCATTTTCATAGTGACTTCAAACTTATAACCAAGTCGGGGACGCTAATTGGCTAATTGAATATGCGAGATTTGGGAGTTTTCTTTTTTTGTTCGAGCTATATTCATACATTTTCGTTTAGGGCGACAAGCGACTGGTAATCGAGTTTTTTTATCTCTGTTTGCCTGCATGCATGTTTGTGTCTGTTTTCGTGCGTGTATATATATATATATGATTGTGTGTGTGTTTGTGTGTATGTGATTGTGAACAAGTAGAACATATCTTTGTTTGGCTGAGATGAGGTTCTTTGTGTGTGAAATGAGTAAAGATGACTTAAATCTGTCTTTATTTATTAAGTCTATTAATTGAGCGTTTCTCCTAAACCATACGAAGAGGAATGGAGGAAGTGGTTTTGTGAATTGGAGTCAAGTCTTATAAGCCAATCCTACCGGAATATGAAGATGCGACCCTCTTGTCCATCTGTAACCGCTGGCTTTATATAGTCTTCTGTTCGACCCTCTCTTGTGACATGACTTTCACTTTTGG